TAGCCATTATCACGATGTGTGAAGAGTTTCATCCGCTCGTTATCCATTGGCAACTAAAATTTAAAACACACAATTTGGTGACATATTTTGGTCACTCATTTCGTTAAGACTGGACCGCATGACCACCTCTTTGTGTTTAGTTAGTTGTCCTTCCCCCGCACCATCCGATTAGCACGGTTGGTTACGTTCAAATGCGAAATAATTTAAACATACATACATCTGCAAGTATTATTACAAATTTTTATTTTGCCAGGTAAGATCCACTGAGCGAGAGAGCTCTTTTTCACAAGTGACCCGGCCACAAATGATAGCTCAACGAAGTTGATTATTGTGTGGACATTTATAGCAGCAGCCAAACACTCTGAATGCGTGATGCTGATTCTGTGGAGGGGGAAACCGGAGGACCCGGAGAAAAATCCACGCGACCACGGGGAGAGAGACACACAAACTACAAATATACAGCAGGCGTCGGGATCGAATCAGCGTCCTCCTGCATGCCAGGCGAGGTAGTTATCACGCGAGCGAATCGAACAGCGCGCGCAGCAGGCAGAGCTGCCCCGTGTCGGAATGTGGCTGCCCCCCTGCCCCCCCACCTGCGCCTCGTTGAGCCCCAGCTCGATCATGTCGAGGGAGCGCTGCACCACGCTGCTCTTGTCCGACACCACCCTCTTCTCGTCGTCGCGCTCCACGCACTTGAGGGTCTCGAGCAGCGTGCTGAGGATGGCGTTGTGCTCGTTCTTGAGCGCGTCCAGACCGTGCACCACCGACTTGGCGCTGGCGATGATGTCCTCCTGCGACATCTTTTCCAACTTCTCTTCTCTTGGGGAAAACATTTTGAACTGCCGTCGCGGACACGGAAAGACAAATAATTTTGGAGTCACCCAGGGCCCGGATTTACTCATCTTGCCGCCCCCCCCTGCCCCACCGTGCCCTCTCCACCCCCCATCCCCTTACGGAAAGAGACAAATAAATACAAAGATCCCCTGTATAGTCTTTTGAGACTGATGTGGCAAGTGCTTTTAGTGGGTACCTATGAAGGCCGATACAGCACTTGAGGGGGTGGGTGGCCAGCACCACGCCCGGCCACCTTTTTCCCCCAGTGGTCATGTTTACGCAATGCACCAGGTACTAATTTGAGGCCGAGTCGACCTAGGGGAGGCCCAGGACCGGTTCAGACAATCGTCACTGGCGTTAGCCGTGAGCGGGAATCGAACTCGGGGTGTTGGGTTCGTAGTATAGTGTGCTAACCACTACACCATTCGCCACTAAGTGGCGATGAAGTCACCACGACGCTTGTGCCAGGCCATGTGCACCTTGAGGCCACACATGGCACACGCATGCTTATATAAACACACACAGGCAGCCGTTTTGACCGTCTCAAATGAACTCCACTCTCAGTGGCAGAGCACGTGAGAAAGTGCTGCCCTCTTACTGTGCAGAACAGACGACACTTGAAATGATCTCAGAAGTAGCTCTCCGATATTCACTTCCGTGGACCGATAATTATCCACACGATGGGTCGCATGTTGCTGTGAGAGGCCCGAACGGAATTGACTGCGGACATGACATCGTTCGCACAACTGGAATACTTTTGGGGTGGTTGGGGAATTAAAGACGTGAAATATGAGGCACGCGTGAATTCACTTTGGTCGCATTGCAACTCGGGCACAGTCGAGTGAAAGCACTCTATAAATACACCACACCGCACGCCGTACAGCTACAGAGCACGTGCTGAACGATGCACTTAAAGGGCTCCGAGGCATTGCCAGCCCACGCCACTGCTCGTTACTGATTCACCAGTTCTTAGACGTCCAGTTCCAGGGGAGCTCTCGCGGCTGCGTGGTGGAGTGGTTGTCCCCGTTTGGACTAAACGAGGTTTGCATCTGGTCAGAGTTCTTAGTCTCACAAGACGCAGTCCTTTGTAATCGCATGTACTCTGCACGCCGCACAAGTACTTACAAGACAGTGCTTGAATCCACAAGTACTCTCAAGACAGTGGCAGTACACAGCATGCACTTGCAAGACAGTGCTTGTCCTCACATGCACTCTGCGGAGGCCGTGCTCACAAGACGGCCATTCGTATCGGCCAAGTCTCCAACACGGCCCTCGTCCTCACGAGACCTCCTGCAGACCTCCTGCACACTCACGACGGTCGTGCACAAGGCCGCGTGCTCACACACGGCGACCGTGAGTCACCCTCCCCCCCCGCGTGCCCCCCCCCCCCCCCCGCGTGACTCGCCGTCACCACCACCACCACCCGCCGGGCCCATCGCTTCAGTCCCGATGGCGAAGGCCCCCCCCCCTCCAACCTCTTTGCAGCTGCTGCCGCACTCACTCCGTGGTGCCACCACAACATGCAAGCAGTGAGACTCATCCTGAGCAGTGAGACTCATCCTGAGCCTGACTCATCCCGAGCCGTGAGACTCATCCTGAGCCGTGAGACTCATCCTGAGCCGTGAGACTCATCCCGAGCCGTGAGACTCAACCAGAGCCGTGAGACTCAAACAACCTGTGAGCCCTGAGACTCATCCCGAGCCGTGAGACTCATCCCGAGCCGTGAGACTCATCCTGAGCAGTGAGACTCATCCTGAGCCGTGAGACTCATCCTGAGCCGTGAGACTCATCCTGAGCCGTGAGACTCATCCTCAGCCGTGAGACTCATCCTGAGCCGTGAGACTCATCCTGAGCCGTGAGACTCATCCTGAGCCGTGAGACTCATCCTGAGCCATGAGACTCATCCTGAGCCGTGAGACTCATCCTGAGCCGTGAGACTCATCCTGAGCCGTGAGACTCATCCTGAGCCTGAGACTCATCCTGAGCCGTGAGACTCAACCTGAGCCGTGACTCATCCTGAGCCGTGAGACTCAACCTGAGCCGTGAGACTCATCCTGAGCCTGAGACTCATCCTGAGCCGTGAGACTCATCCTGAGCCGTGAGACTCAACTTGTGAGCCGTGAGACTCATCCCGAGCCGTGAGACTCATCCCGAGCCGTGAGACTCATCCCGAGCCGTGAGACTCATCCTGAGCCGTGAGACTCATCCTGAGCCGTGAGACTCAACCTGAGCCGTGACTCATCCTGAGCCGTGAGACTCAACCTGAGCCGTGAGACTCATCCCGAGCCGTGAGACTCATCCTGAGCCGTGAGACTCAACTTGTGAGCCGTGAGACTCATCCTGAGCCGTGAGACTCAACCTGAGCCGAGAGACTCAACTTGTGAGCCGTGAGACTCATCCCGAGCCGTGAGACTCATCCTGAGCCGTGAGACTCAACTTGTGAGCCGTGAGACTCATCCCGAGCCGTGAGACTCATCCTGAGCCGTGAGACTCATCCCGAGCCGTGAGACTCATCCTGAGCCCTGAGACTCATCCTGAGCCGTGAGACTCAACCTGAGCCGTGAGACTCATCCTGAGCCGTGAGACTCATCCCGAGCCGTGAGACTCATCCTGAGCCCTGAGACTCATCCTGAGCCGTGAGACTCATCCCGAGCCGTGAGACTCATCCCGAGCCGTGAGACTCTTCCTGAGTAGTGAGACTCAACCTGAGCCGTGAGACTCAACTTGTGAGCCGTGAGACTCATCCTGAGCCGTGAGACTCATCCTGAGACTCATCCTGAGCCGTGAGACTCATCCTGAGCCTGAGACTCATCCTGAGCCGTGAGACTCATCCTGAGCCGTGAGACTCATCCCGAGCCCTGAGACTCAACCTGTGAGCCGTGAGACTCATCCCGAGCCGTGAGACTCAAGCAACCTGTGAGCCGTGAGACTCATCCCGAGCCGTGAGACTCAAGCAACCTGTGAGCCGTGAGACTCAAACAGCCTGTGAGCCCTGAGACTCAAGCAACCTGTGAGCCGTGAGACTCAAGCAACCTGTGAGCCGCGGTCATCCACAGCCCGGGGGCGACTCCCTCAGCCCAAGCACGCAGCGAGCCCCAGGGACCGACACAGCCCCCGGCGTCCCTCTGGGGCCCCTCAGCTGGTTCCGAGGAGCCCCAGAAGACGGGAAACCCCGAGACTCAAGAGCCCCCCGCCGCTACAACCAAACCCCCCGAGCGAGTCACCAAACCCTCGAGCCCCCGAGCGAGCCACCGAGCCCCCCGAACGAGCCAGCAAAGCCCGCAGAGCCCCCCACGTTTCTCGACCTCGCCCCCCACTCACGGCGCCTGGGGTCGCCGCTGCCGCCGCCGCCGCTGCCACCCTCGACCCGTTGCGGGGGGAGGGGGGGGCGCGCAAGATGGCGGCGCTCCCACAATGCGGCGCGGCGAGAGTCACGTGACGACGCGACGAGAGGCAAAGGCGCCCCGGGTAGCCTCGCGCGGGGTCTCGGGGCGAGTCTGCACGTGCTCTATTACTATAGTACTATACCGCCTTCGACTTTTGTGAACGACTGGGTGTTCAAGGTTAGCGATTTGTCGTATTATCTGACTGTATAGCAAATGAAAAAAATACTTTACTATGCGAGTTCAACATTTGTTTTAATATTTACGTGTGTTTTTATTTAGGGGCCCTTGATAACATCTGCTACAGGCCCCGGCACTAGCTTCATCCGGCACTGGGTGCCACTGTCAGGATGTCTACAAAGATACCACTGTTCGATTCCCGCTCACGGCCAGCAACATCAGTGGCGGCGAGTACTGCACCTCAACCGGCTCTGGGTCTCCCCTAGGTCGACTCAGCCTTCAGGAGGTGGGAATGTCTGCTCGCTCGTCCGTGCTGGGTGACGTCGACAGAGAGACGCCTCCGTCTCGCTACGCCCCATGGCTGCCATGCGACGGCGTGGCCACCAGGGGGGGACAGCCCCCACCCCCTCCTCCCCCCACCCCTCCCCCCACCCCCTCCCCCCCCCCCCTCCTCCCCCACCCCCTCCTCCCCCACCCCCTCACCCCTCCCCTCCTCCCCCACCCCTCCTCCCGCGCCCCTCCCCTCCTCCCCCCGCGTCGAGTTCCGCCGCAAGTCGTCACTTCCGCTCACGCCCGCGGGTCTCTTCCCGCCAGCCCCGCCCCGCCCGCCCGCCCGCCGTCTCCGCCTTCCAACTCCTTCGAGAAGCCGGCGACAGACCTCGGGGTTCGTCTCCGCGTCTCCTTGCCGTGACACCATCGTCGTCGTCTCCTCCTCGAGGCGTCGTCCGGACTCCAACCACCGCCTCCCGTCTCCGCCGATCCGTTCCCTCCCGTCAGAGGCGCCGTCTCTCGTGAGCTCCCTCCCCGTCGCCATTCATTTGCCTCGTCTCCTCAGGGTCTCCTGCAACTCCGCACGAATCCCCGTTCGAGCTCCTTCTCCTCCTCCTCCTCCTCGCCGTGGCTCCGACTTCAGTTGCTAGGCCTGCGTCGCCTCCATTCCCTCCACCGCCAACCCACCGGGCTGAGTTTCTCTTCATCGTCTTCATCCTCCTCCCCGACCCCTGTCGGCCTCCCGTCACCACCTCCACATCTCTCGGCAGGGGTCGGCAAACCTGCGGCTCGGCGGCTCTTCTCGAAGCGCTGCTTCGTGGCGTGTTTATTTGCCGAGGACCCCAAACACCGTCTCGTATTCACCACGGGGCAGCATCGTTGCGGCTCTTAAAAAATATCTTGGAGGGGTGGGGGTTTTTTTCGAATGCGACAATAATGCCCCCTACATCATACAGGGGTTTTTTTGGTTGGGTTAGATCGCGTAAATATTAATATTGTGTCGTTAAACCCGCCACCACCCGACACAGCCAATTAGTAAAGGTTTGTCACGTAAACAGAACGTGGGCCAATTCGTCACCAGTAGAGCACCAACCGGGTGTGTGTTGGAGAGCCAAGCCACAACGTTTACAGTCTGGGTGTACGACATTTCGCAACTAATTACAACTAGCATCAGGCGGACAGCAGCCAGATTTGTGTGTTCAACTGATAAAGCCCCCTCTTGTTATATTGGCTGCCGACCCCAGGCCTATCTATTCTAGATCCTTCAGCCACTTAATATCACGGACCTGTCAACCCCTTATCGGTGCCGCCCTCATTACAGACCAATTCACACCTTGTTGGTCACCACGTGCCCGTTTATAAATCTCAACGTTCATCCTACAAAGCCCCATCACGAGGGAGAAACACAAACAAATAGACTAAACTATAATTGTGTTTGCCCGTATTAAAACGGCTGTACACCGTATGGACCTGAACACGACATTCCCCTGTACAGGAAGAATAACGGGGTAAACCGTGCGGGTTGACTGCGCTGACATTGTCATCAACACCTTGCACGGGTTCGAACGTTCATCCGTGCCGCCCGCCGCCACCTCGTCCATCACCACCTCGTCCGTTTCTCCATCTATCTCCTGCCGTCGGAGGTTTTGATTATGAATGTATTTGAGAAAAAAAGAGACTGAATACTGTTTTAAATGCACTGCTATCATGTTTTTTGTATCTGTTGTTGTAACGTGTTCTTACCCGCCCCTACTGGACATTTGTGAAAAAGAGCTGTATAGCTTATCGGATTCCTCCAGTATAAATACATATTCTGATCATGAAATGTTGTTTTGACTGAGGAAATAATGGGCACAAGAAACCGTACCCCCAGCTGTAACAGTTGCAAATGTGCAAGAAATGTGCTTGCCACCAGTGGTCATTCTCAAACTTGTTTCGCCTTGTTGAAATGTTTCAACCGAATACTCCCTTGTCTGACCCAACATTGTTCTAAGAAGTAAATATATGAATAATAAACATCAATTATTTAACCAATTGTTCATATGAGGTATCATCCTACCTAGTTAGTAAATGCAAGGAAATAAAAACATCATTCAACGGACGCTTTGCACGCATGACATAATTTGTTCGTGCTCGCTGTTCATGCTTGTAAACCACATTGTTTACGATTAATGAGTTTAGAAAGGTCTTTAGGTTCCCATATGGATTAAAATTGTATCGTAGTTATTTTATATTGGCAGATTCATACGCGATTATTCACCACTGACCCATGTATGATATTTCACACATTTATAAATCACCTTGCGTACCCTACCGGTTGAGAACCACCGTTTTAATCTCCTCAATCCCTTCCATCCCACAGCCTTGGCTGTTCTCCCGCCATCGTCGGCCATGTCTGCCACTCCAGCGCCGCCATCGGCCATCGAGAACATCTCCCGCAGAGACGCCGAGAGAAAGACGGAGGTTGAGCGCCGTCGCCGGGAGGACGAGGTTGACCTGGCGCCGGGGGAGCAGGCCGACCGCTTCGGGGCGACCTTCGGCACCGAGACGGCGGCCCTGGAGGCGCTGCTGCTGCGGGGCGCCGTGGAGGAGGCCGCAGGACGCGCCTCGGCCTTGCAGGACCTCGTCAACCAGGCCGCGCTCTACCTGCCGGCGTACTGCTTGCGGCAGGCGCAGGGCAGCCTCGACTCCTTTTTGGCCAGGATCAGGGCCAAACGGGACGAGGCGGCACCCAAGAAGAAGTTCGCCTTCAAAGCTCGAAGCAAGAAGGAGGCGGCGGTGGAGAAGGACGCGACCGACGACAAGGTGGAGGCGCCGCCGGCGACGGATGGCCAACACAAGCGGTCGACCAAGTTCGACCTGGTCCAGTGTGGCTTCCACGACCTGGTCGGGCAGAAGCTGACGGAGCGCGGCGACCGGCTGTCCGGCACGGACTGGGCCCTGGGGAACCTGTCCGGCTGCACTGTGGCGCTCCTGGGCTCCCCGAGCACCCTGCATATCACGGGCGTGAGGGACTGCGTGGTGCTGTGTGGGCCCGTGGCCACCTCCGTGTTTCTGGACGACTGCAAAGGGTGCAAGGTGGTGGTGGCCTGCAGGCAGTTCCGTGCCCACCGCTCCGAGGACACAGACTTCTACGTGGACGTGGCCAGCAAGGCCATCATCGAAGACTGCGTCCGAGTGAGGTTCGCGCCCTACAACCTGAGCTACCCTGGCCTGGACGGCCACTTCAAAGATGCGAGGATGGAGGGTCACGGCCAGACATGGAACGGAATCAACGACTTCAACTGGCTGGCAGACGTGCCCTCTCCCAACTGGAGCATGATCCCAGAAGATGAGAGGGTACCCACGTGGAATGTGGATGCGGTGTGATGAGCATCGGTCATAGTTCACCTCGGCGGCGTCACCGCAATTGCTTGTGCCAGGCTGGGTGCACTTGAGGCCACTTCAAGTGCTTGAATGCTCTCGCTTGCAGGTAACGGGACGGGCTCAGGTGTGTTTTTTTCCACAGTGGGTAAAAACACACCTGATAACTGCTCCCGATTGTGCCAACTCGCTGTTTAATTTGCACAGCGCTTTGCTCGCCGTGAGACGACACGGAGATAAAAAATGCACTCGGCTACTCGAACGTTCTGTGGCAGACTAAAAAAAAATTCGCAAGCGATCAATTTCAAATTAGTTACCTACACTGAAAGGTTGTGGAGTTATCTATTTAAATGTACACTACAGCCCTTGTGTTCATTCACCGCTCGGCCAGGGCCACGCCGTGTGGGTAGTGGGTGTTATTTGACCATACTTCACCACACCGGTCAGTGAGGATTGCAGGCGGAGGGAGGGCATGCATAAATGTGGGAGTGCAGTACAGTGAATTTTGATGCATTGCTTTCTGCCCATAACGTTAGCCCTGCTGCAACCTTCAGCACCTGTTTGTGGCACACACACACAAGCAGCAGCCAGGCATAACTCTGCTTAGCTTCGGCGATCTGACGAGATCAGGCACATTTCAGGGCAGTTTGGTCAAAGGCATCAATTGTTCTTTATTAACATTCGCATCAACACTTGAGCTCGCGCGTAATAAACAATTAAGGCATTCCATTGTTGAGTTTGATTGGCAGTGAAAGTTGCGCATGTATTTCCATGTTAACCAAGTTGCTTAGGCACAGAGGTCAAAAATGCAAAATTGGTCACCAACAGAGAGCACTTAAAAGAGGTTTCTTGAAATTATTGTTAAAATTACTCTTAAAACTGTTGTCATGCATGTATGCTACAATTGTATGAGCAAAAATACATTTGCAAGTGTTGCTGGGGCTAACTGAACGAATGTGCGCACTCCAGATGGTTACAGTAGGGCCCGGGACGTTTGCTTTGCTCACGCCACTGCTGATGGAAGCGGCCGCTACTAAGAGAGCCCCCATCGAGGGTTTTTGGTCTACCCTTCCACGCTGGAGTATTTGTAATCGTGACCATTCGCTGAATCGCACGAGCAGAGGAGAATAACTGCTTGCTAGTGACATTACACCAAAAATGCGGTGTGTGGAGACGATTCTCGTGAGATTTCGCGTGTGCAATAAAATAATAAAGCAAAACTGACGAGCATTATTTATTCGTGTTATTTTAAAACTGTCCCGAAATTGTCATTGACAACATTCCAGGGTCCTAAAGTGCAGTGTACAAACGAGTTCATATGAAACTGCTGAAGAGTCTGCCGAGCGGCCAACGGCTTTAAGAGCCGTCATCTCAAAGCGGCTTCTTCTTGTTGCTGTGTGGGCTCCGCCGGATTGCACGCAGCATCCACGGCTCTGGGGCTTTTGGCAACAGATTGCTCCTCGCAGAGCTCCTTAAACTTGTTGGCCGTTTCCAAAAGACATTCTCTTATTTCCCCCTGAAAATAGAAATAAAATAGAACAAAACTCAGAATGAGGACTGGCAGTCTTTCCGGTTGAAAAGTCTTGTTGTACCGTACAATGTGAATTTTGGTCAACAACATCGAGACTTTCACGCGGACACGGGGCACCTTTTCCTCAGTCGGGTCGAATAGGGTTTGCAGAGATATCTTTGATGGGCCGCACTCGGAATACGCAACCTTGGTGTTATCCTATGACGTACGTGTCAATGGTGTCGAGGCTTTTGCCGTGAGGCCGTTGAAGTGATTCGTGCGGATAAGGTGTCGCAATTGATATAGTTTACGGACATTTTTCATACCTGTCAACACCTTGCCAGTGCCTACCTTATCACAGACCAATTCACACCCTATTGGTCACCCCGTGCCCTAAAAATCTCAACGTACATTCTACAAAGTCCCATCACAAGGGGGAAACACAAACAAATAGACAAATATTGTTTTACTCAATTTCCCTGTACAAGAATACGGGTAAACCGTATGGGTTGACAAGTATGCATTTTTAAGTGGTAGGCATTATTGCTGTGGGGAGTATACAGTGAGGGAACAGTATTTGATCCCCTGCTGATTTTGTACATTTGCCCACTGACAAATAAATGATCAGTCTATAATTTTAATGGTAGATTTACTTGAACAGTGAGAGACAATAACAAAAATCCAGAAAAACGCATGTCAAAAATGTTATAAATTGATTTGCATTTTAATGAGGGAAATAAGTATTTGACCCCCTCTCAATAAGAAAAAATTCTGGCCCCCAGGTGTCTTTTATACAGATAACGAGCTGAGATTAGGAGCACACTCCTAAAGGGAGTCCTCCTAATCTCAGCTTGTTCCCTGTATAAAAGACACCTGTCCACAGAAGCAATCAATCAGATTCCAAACTCTCCACCATGGCCAAGACCAAAGAGCTCTCCAAGGATGTCAGGGACAAGATTGTAGACCTACACAAGGCTGGAATGGGCTACACGACCATTGCCAAGCAGCTTGGTGAGAAGGTGACAAAAGTTGGTGCGATTATTCGCATAGGGAAGAAACAAAAGAACTGTCAATCTCCCTCGGCCTGGGGCTCCATGCAAGATCTCACCTCGTGGAGTTGCAATGATCATGAGAACGGTGAGGAATCAGCCCAGAACTACACGGGAGGATCTTGTCAATGATCTCAAGGCAGCTGGGACCATAGTCACCAAGAAAACAATTGGTAACACTACGTCGTGAAGGACTGAAATCCTGCAACGCCCGCAAGGTCCCTCTGCTCAAGAAAGCACATATACATGCCGGTCTGAAGTTTGCCAATGAATATCTGAATGATTCAGAGGACAACTGGGTGAAAGTGTTGTGGTCAGATGAGACCAAAATGGAGCTCTTTGGCATCAACTCAACTCGCCGTGTTTGGAGGAGGAGGAATGCTGCCTATGACCCCAAGAACACCATCCCCACCGTCAAACATGGAGGTGGAAACATTATGCTTTGGGGGTGTTTTTCTGCTAAGGGGACAGGACAACTTCACCGCATCAAAGGGACGATGGACGGGGCCATGTACCGTCAAATCTTGGGTGAGAACCTCCTTTTTTCAGCCAGGGCATTGAAAATGGGTTGTGGATGGGCATTCCAGCATGACAATGACCCAAAACACACGGCCAAGGCAACAAAGGAGTGGCTCAAGAAGAAACACATTAAGGTCCTGGAGTGGCCTAGCCAGTCTCCAGACCTTAATCCCATAGAAAATCTGTGGAGGGAGCTGAAGGTTCGAGTTGCCAAACGTCAGCCTCGAAACCTTAATGACTTGGAGAAGATCTGCAAAGAGGAGTGGGACAAAATCCCTCCTGAGATGTGTGCAAACCTAGTGGCCAACTACAAGAAACGTCTGACCTCTGTGATTGCCAACAAGGGTTTTGCCATCAAGTACTAAGTCATGTTTTGCAGAGGGGTCAAATACTTATTTCTCTCATTAAAATGCAAATCAATTCATAACATTTTTGACATGCGTTTTTCTGGATTTGGTTGTTATTCCGTCTCTCACTGTTCAAATAAACCTACCATTAAAATTATAGACTGATCATTTCTTTGTCAGTGGGCAAACGTACAAAATCAGCAGGGGATCAAATACTTTTTTCCCTCACTGTAACATTAAGTCGTGGGCCATAGGTCCCCCACCGACGCTTTAAATGCATAGCACGAGTGACATCCCTTCACAGACATTGAAATGTACGAGTGGCATGACCGTGGTGTCACTTCAGCGTAATAATTATGACGTGCCTGAGCTTAACTTTATTTAAACCTTATTTTTGCTCACTAGCCAAGCTTCGGACTCGTGTGGCACAGCGCGGGATACACAGCCTCTACGCGTAGCTAGGCCACTGCGCTTAGCTGCAGTGGGGTGTGGCATTGCCGGCATGGGCCCCGGTACGAGGAATGAAATTAGGGTCCATGTTCCTAATTCCCCCCGCCTTTGGAGCACGGTGCCTGGGCAGGACCTCTCCTCCAGGCCTGTGGGAACCGGTGCAGTTGCACCACTTAAACACTTGAAAGCGACGCCACCATCCAGCTGTTTAAAAACGCTTTTTTGTCTTGTAGATTAATATTGACCTGTGATACAAAATTTAAAAAATGTCGGTTTCCAAGCCCTCGATACAACCCGGTGGGTTCCCCCGCTCATCACGTTGGTCGGTTACCTCCGGAGGAAGGTCTTCCAGCAAAGCGTCCCACCTCGCCACCAGCTCGCTCTCAACGAGCAGCCTCCCCGCCACCAGTTGCCGCGACAAGTGGAGCAGTGCCCAGCAGCAGCGCTGTAGTGTCGGGTGGGGAGGGTGGTGAACGGTGGGGTGTTAGAGGGGACGAGGGGGTGGTGGTGAGCGGTGGGATGGTTAGGGTTGGAGTGGTGAGAGGTGGGGTGTTAGAGGGGACAAGGGGGTGGTGGTGAGGGGTGGGGTGTAAGAGTAAACAAAACATGCCGATTAGTTACTACAGCACACTGGTGTGTTGGGAGAGTAAACCCACAACATTTATATAATCGAGCACGACATTTATCGGTGTCAAGTATTGACATAAATAGCTATGAAAGTACAGATGTGAACAAACCTTCTTGTCTGTGGCCGAGTGCAGGTAAGAGACATTTTTGTTGGACAGGAGGAGGTGGAATGGGGGTTGCATTGAGAACTCGGTCCAGACGCCCTGCAGAGCTCCCAGCAGCCTGCGCGTGCTCTCCTCCCAGCAGTCCACAGCAGGGCTCTCGTTCAGCACTCTGTCAAAGGCTGGACACAACTCACGTTGACATTTACCGTTGTGTTTGCGAAATACTGGGATACCCATTCTCATAACACAACCCGATTGAGGCGGTGATGTCACGGCCCAGCTGTCGCGCATTCGCCGCTCGTTGTCGGGGTTCCTGGTTTGAATCCAGCAGGCCGCCCCGGTTATTACTGCGGTGTTTAATACAATGTACCGTCTGCATCACAGTGGACGTTAAAGATCCCCTGACATTCGCAAGAGCAGGCCCGTTGTATTTCGGTGTCACGGTCCGAATAAAAAAAACATCACAAATACAGTCTGTTCTATAATGCCGCCAGTTTTCATAACGCGAATTGGATACAACACGATTAATGTATTAGGAAACGCATTTTTACGAAGCGGATGCGAATTGGATATAACGCGATCGAGCGAATGGAACAACGTCGCGCGAGTAGGAATCAGCGGTCGTACGGCTGCCTCGGCGTAGCATCGCACGAGCCAGTGGGATGCTGCTGGATGCTTCTCGATGCTACCCACGCGCCTCGGTCTTTGTTCGGCCTGCGTACGCATCTCACGTGTTATTGCGGACTGTGCTTTACCCCCTATATTATTTATTACATGATTTTTCCATTACGCGGTGTTCTTCAGGAACGCGTTATAGGGGAACAGGCTGGATTAACAAAAGTATATTTTTATTTTTGTCCAGTGTTTGCGTTTGCCTTCCGTGTGGGAGGCCAGAGAAACCACCATGTGTATGGGGGAATAACAAAGCTCCACAACGAATTTAAAAGTATATATTTTTTATCAAACAATGGACAAGCTGGTTAATTAGATGGCATCTGTTTAAATTCAAACGTAAGACAATAGCACTTGAACACCACAATGCAGGATGTATATACGTTGAACTTCTTTCGCACTGTACGTTGCCAACTGCGCTATTGGAGGTGCGGGTTAAGGACAACA